ACATGCACTCATCAGAGACAGAGAAAGTGAGAAATCACCTCCCAGGGAGGATGGCCATCAGCAATCCCTTCTCCTCCATTCTCCTCTCAGGCTCTTGGGCACACATGCATATGCACCTGGTGGTTTCAAGCTGCTAGCTCCAGGACTCAAACCACAGTCCCCCACGTGGGAGTCCAGCACCTTAACCACTATGCCATCTGCTGCCCCCCCATAGAAATACTTGTCAGTAAATCAGTAAGTCCGAGTATATGCTAGACAGTATCACAGAGAGAAGAGGCAATATGGAGGAAAGACACAAACTTCAGTCAATCAGGTGTGACAGCCCACAGTGCGGATGTGAAGAAAATGAATGCTTTCAGTTTTGGGGGGCACGAGCTTTCACCAGAGGGTGGGAGGAGAAAGCACCTCCCAATGGAAGTGCGGTCATGCCATAATCCCTCTCCTCCACTTCTCCATCCTGTTGGATTTTGAACACACACACACACACACACACACACACACACACACGAGTACCTGGCGTGTTTTCAAAGCCTCCAGAGCCAGGACTGGGACACAGCTGGCCATAGAGGATCTGGCTCCCTTAACCACTAGGCTCTGGCCCCAAAACGATTTTGAAATTGCATCTCCATTCAGAGGCAGAGTGCACTGTGATGGACGGATTATGTTGCCATGGGTACAGGCAGCACAATCAGTAAGGGTTTGCAATTTCTGCTACTAGGAAGGATCACCATGGTGTAACTGTCCTCCCTTATCTGTAATTCCATTGTCTTAGGTGTCAATTACCCGCAGTCAACTGTGATCCAAAAGTATTAAATGGAAAATTCCAGAAATAAACACCGTTAAATCATGCACTGTTCTGAGCAGCAGGATGGAATTTCATGCTGTCTTGCTCCGTCCCCTCAGGACATGAATCATCCCTTTGTTCAAGATCTCCACATCATATTAAGACCCTGCCCTTAGGCAATTAGGAGCCATCTTGGTTATCAAATCCCCAAAACAATACAGTCAGCCCTCTGAATCCGTAAATTCAGCCAACAGTGGAACAACAATATTTTTGGGGAAAAAAAGTAACAATTTAACAATAAAAAATAATATGAGTTAAAGATACAGTATATCAATTATTTACATAGCATTTACACTGTATTAGGTGTAAGTAATCTGGAGATGATTTAAGGTATACAGGAGGGTGTGTATAGATTATATACAAATAATATAGCCATATTCTTTTATTGTGATTGCCAGGGGGCAGGCGCGCATGTCAGAGAGACAGGGGGATGGCAAGAGGCAGAGGGAGAAAGCACCCACCGGCGGGGTGTAGTCACGCCCAAGTCCCTTTTCCTCCATCTGTCAGGGTTTGGGGCATGCGCACACATACACACCTAGCATGTGTGGTCAAGGCCCTGGGAAAGGATTAGAACTGTGGTTGGTCACGTGCGATCCTGACTCCCTTAACCTCTAGGCTGTTGGGCTGGCCTCAGCCATTTTATTTAAGGGCCTTGGGCACCTGCAGATTTGGGCATCTGTGGTTCTGGAAATAACTTCTTGTGGATATCCAGGGATGGCCGTACACAGTACACGGGGGTCTTCATAAGTTCATGGGAAATGCATGTTATGAACAAAAAGGGATTTCAAAAAAAATTTGCACCAAAATAAACTAATATTTAATTGTATTTTTTTCAAAAACTTTCTGAAGTAACTTCATATAGGATTCAGTACTATTCGAGATTTTAGGCATCCACTGGAAGGCTTGGAAGATAGTCTAAAGGATATGGGAAAACTACTGTGTTAGAAACAGTGAGTTGTGGAGACTGGCAGATGGCGTGGTGGGTGGTTAAGGGCTCTGGACTCCCACATGGCCGACCGCAGCTTGAATCCCAGACCTGGCAGCTTGCTTTCTCACTTTCCCGCTCTCTCTGGCTCTCACTCTGTCCCTCTCTGGTCAAATTAAAATAAATAAATAAAGTTAAATAAAATACTTATTTTAAAAAAGTGAGTTGTGAAGTAAACATAGTTTGCCTTCCTTCTCCCCATTGCCCATCTCCCCTGCTTTTCTCTGAGCACTCAGAGAGCACCCTCCAGAGCACTGACTGAGTCTGGATCTTTGGACTGGTCTCTTAAATATCCCATGGAGCATGGCCGCTCAGCAGTCCCTTCTCTCAGTCTCTCCCTCTTCTCAGGGTTTTAAGCACTCACGAATATGAGCCCAGTGTGTTTCTTAAGCCACCAGGGCCAGGGTGCAAACCTCACGGTTGGCCGAGTGGGATCCATTTGCCTTAATCACCGGGCCACAGGCTGGCCTCTCAGAGTTTTCTGCTCCTGTCTGCAGTGGCCTGGTCCTTCAGAGCGAGTCTCAGACTTCCTTTTCGTGACACCATGCCAACAGCAGGAAATTCTTCTAGACCCCTCAGAGCAATTATCCTCTTGAAATCGAATCCAGGTCTTGACAAGGAACTGTACAATACCCTATTTCTTTCTCCCAGCACCCAGGAAGAAGGTTTGCACACTTAGAGACAAGAGAGAGATGAGGGTTTGTTTGCTCACAGAACCAGTTAAAGTGTCAGAGCTCAGGTTTCAACCTCGAAGTCTGGTCTCTACCCTGGACTACCTTTTTATTCCTTAAACTACTGTAGGGCAGGGCCCTGGCCTTGATTTGCCTTTGTAGGTGCCAACAGTTCTCAGCAGAGTTCTTGATAAATGTTTCTCTTCTTCATTTATTTATTAATTTTTTTTTAGAGAGATTTTTGCTATAGGGCATGTGCGCTCACCAGAGAAACAGAGAGACAGATGTGAGAAATCATCCCAGAGGGGATGGCCATGCCACAGTCCCTTCTCCTCTGTGCTCCTCTCAGGAGCTTGGGCATGCACACACACGTGCCTCACATGAGTTATAAGCCGCCGGGTCTGGAACTCGAACCTCAGCCCACGACATGGGAGTCCAATGACGTACCATTATGCCATCTGCTGGTCCTTTATTGTTTTCTTTTTGCTATAGGGCACATGTGCTTTCTGGAGGGAGAGAAAAAGACAAAGGGATTAAATGACAAAGCAACCCCATGGGGGACGGCCACACCACATCCTTTCTCCTCCATTCACCGCTCTGGATTTGGGGCATGTGAGCACAAGTGCCAGATGTGTTTTCCAGGCCGCCAAGTAGGGACTCAACCTTGTAGTCTGCTATGTGGGATTCAGCTGCCTTAACTACCATACCACCAGCTTGGTCCCTTACTTATTTCCTTTATATATATATATAGAGAGAGAAATTTTTGCTGTAGGGCAAGTGTGCTCTTGGGAGATATATATATAGAGAGAAACAGAAAGCAAGAAATCCACCCCTCCCCCCAGGTGGAATGATTACACCAGAAAATACTTCTCCATTCTCTCAGGATCTTGGGCAGTACCCACATGCACCTGCTGTGAGGTTTAAGCTGCAGGGTCTGGACTCAAACCGTGGTCAACTATGTAGGAGTCCAGCAAGGAACCAATACACCATCTGCTAGTCCCTTATTTCCTTTTTTTTGGGTAGAGTGATTTTTGCGATAGGGCATGTGCGCCCCCTGGAGAGACAATGAAAGACAGGAAGCAAGAAATCACCCCCCTTTACAGGGGGTGATGGCCACATGGCAATCCTGTGTCTTCCATTCTCCTTTCGGGATTTTGGGTGCATAGGCATGAGCGCCCAGAGTGAGCTTTAAGCCACCAGGCCTGGACTGAAATAGCAATCGAATACGAGGTAGTTCAGCGACATAACCATTACGCCATCTGCTGGTCCTGGTGGCCTATTTACTTTTAATAGACTTTTTTTTTTTGGTTGTTTTTTTGTTTTTTTTTTGAGAGAGATTTTTGCTATGGGAAGGGGGATTCGCCAGAGAGACAGAAAGCGAGAAATCACCCCGAAGGGGGATGGCTGCGCTGCAAACCCTTCTCCTCCATTCGCCACTGAGGATCTTGAGCACGCACGCACATGGACCCAGCGTGTTTTAAATCGCTGGGTCTGGGACTCGAAACACAGTCGCACTAGGTAGGAGTCCAGTGACGTAACCATTACACCATTTGCTGGTCCCAATAGACTTTATTTTTTAGAGTAGTTTTGTTTCATGGCAACTTTATATGTTTATGTATGTATGTACATATTTATTTAATTTGTTTTAGGGTGATTACGTTTGCCAGAGATGAAGTGGGGGGATGTGTGGTGTGCGTCCGCCAGCCCTGCCTCTGGGCGGCCAGGCACAGCGCACAGGCACGATCCGAGTGGGGGCTGTGAGCCTCGGGGCTGTAGGCACCTGCCCAGCCCTTTGCCTCGGCTTTCCCAGCTGAAAATGCTGGAGACGGGAACTGCAGCTCAGGGCTTTCTGTTCGAGACTTGCGCTTTGAGGCTCCCGCCCTTCCGGACTCGGTTGTCCGCGTTACATCCCTTCCTGGCTTTGCAGCTCACCGCCCTCCCTTCCCAGGCGGCGATCCGCTTCCGCATTTTACTCTGTGCCCGAGGCGCTGGGCCGTGGAGGCGGTAACGCGCACGCGCACTGGGATCCGGCCCGGGCCGAGCGCGCGGCCGGACGACTGCGGGTGAGGGAAGGGTC